TTTACCGTACAGATGCAGACTGTACAAGTAAAACAGAGGTATAGTTTAATGAGTTATTAGAAAGCAGAGGTCAGGAGAAAGAATCTTGCCTGCTGGTCCAACTCCCATTCATGTCACCCAAGTATGCCTCATAGACACACTAGATTCCTATTTTGTTTTTGCCTGTTTAAAGAAAAAGTCTTTTGCTGGGTGCTGATGGCTCATACCTATAACCCTTGCTACTTGGGAGGCTAAGATCAGGAGGATCACAGTTTGAGGCCAGCCTGGGTGATTAGTTGGTTAGACTCCATCTCCAAAATAAACAGAACAAAATGGACTGGAGGCATGCCTCAAGCAGTACAGCATTTGCAAGCCCCAAGTTCAAACCCCAGTCTCACCAAAAAAAGAAAAAAATTTTTTTCTTTTTCTCGCAATGGTACTGGGGTTTGAATTCAGGGCCTTACACTTACTGAAGAAGCACTCTAGCTCTTGAGCCACACTCCCAGCCCTTTTTGCTATTGTTTGTTTTTCAGATAGGGTCTTTCTTGTGCCCTTGCCTGTCAAGCCTCAAACCTTGGTCCTCCTAACCTCTTCCTCCTGAACAGGTGGGACAACAGACTGCACCACCACACCTGGCTTTTTTTTTTTTTTTTAAACTTTTGCCCAGGATGACCTCAAACTGCAGTCCTCCTACCTTTTCCTCCTGAGCAGCCTGGACCACAGACTTCACCACCCCGCCAGTCTTATTTTTGAGATAGTTAAGGTCTTGCTATCTTTTGCCAAGGTAGCCTCAAGCTGCAGCCTCCCAAGTACCTGGACTTACAAGTGTGCACCACCATTCCCGGCCCTTTTAAAAAATCTCTTTTAACCTGTGATTGTCCCTTCCATCTCTTCTCTTCCCTATATTCTGTTGAAGAAAGAAACTAGATTGTCTGCCCTGAGTTGGTTCTGGGATTTCTCCCAGGCTGGATATTGTGAAGAATGAGGCATGTAGAGCAGCTGTGACTTAGGTGGTGGGTGTTCTGCGTCAGGAGATACACAGTAGCTGGTTGTCTCCTACTGGGCTGGGGTAGCCAGGAGTGCCCAGGTCTTAGAGCCTGCCATTCACTAGGGTTACAAAAGGTTGGTGTTGCAATTCTCTTGTTCTTATTTATGTGTTTGTTTATTTGTTGGACTGTTTCAATAAAAAACTCCATCCATCTACTCTTATAGCTTCATTGAGATTCATAGGTCACACAGCTCACCCATCTAGAGTGTACAGTTCAGTGGCTTTTCATGTATTAACAGCGTTCTTATCTGTCACCACAATCAATTGTAGAACTTGGCATTGGCAAAACCCCACTGTAGCTGTCATCCTCCACCTGAGCTGTCAACTCTCCATCCTAAGCAACCTTAGCTTAATTTCCATCTGTGTGGATTTGCCTACTCTGGACATTTCTTATAAAGGGGTCAGACAATATGTGGCAACTTGGGACTGGCTTCTTTCACTGAAGCAAAGTGTTTGCCAGGTCCATGCACAGGGTGGCGCACATCAGTACTTCATTTCTTTTTGTGGCCACATAATATTCCATCAAGTGGATCTATTGTATTTTATTTTGTCAGCTGATGGGCATCTCAGTTGCTTCTGCCTTTTGGATATTATCAGTAATGTTGCTATAAACGTCCATATTCAGCTTTTCTCATAAATGTGTGTCTGTGTCTCCTGGCTATATAATTGCTGGGACATACAGTCTCTCAGTGTTTAGCCTGCTAGGATGTTTTCCAGCGTGGATGCACAATTGTTTACATGAAGATTTCGATTTCTCCAACGTTTGTCATTATGTTTTCTTTTAGGAAGTGGGGCAGGTTGAACTCAGGGCCTCACACTTGCTAAGCAGGCACTCCAGCACCGTAGCCACTCTGCCAGCCTGTTGGGTTATTGTTGAGAGAGGGTCTGAGTTTATGTCTGGGCCAGGCTGGACCGCAATCCTCCTTTCTGTGCTTCTCCATGTATCTGGAGTGACAGGCACACACCCCCGTGCCCAGCCATTGGTTGAGATGTGGTCTCCTAAACTTTGTCTGTGCTGACCTTGAACTACAGTCCTCCCGGTCTCCACCACCTGAGTGGCTGGGATTACAGACTTGAACTACTGCACCTGGCTCATGTCTATTCTTGCTTTTTATCCTATTGGGTATGCAGTGATATCTAATTGTGGTTTTGATTTGCATTTCCCTGATGACTAATGATGTTGAGTATATTTTCATGTGCTTATTGGTCATTTATATGTCTTTGGAAAAAGATCTGTATATATCCTTTGACCATTTTTACTTGGGTATTTGCTTTTTTTTTTTTGGTGGTACTGGGGTTTGAACTTAGGGCTTCATGTTTGCTCTGCAGGTGCTGTACTGCTTGAGCCACTCCACCAGTCCTTTTTGGCATTGGGTTTTTTTCGAGATAGGATCTCACAAACTTTTTCCCTGGGCTGACTTCGAATCTTGATCCTACTGATCTCTGCCTCCCAAGTAGCTAGGATTACAGGCGTGAGCCACTGGTGCCCAGTGGTATTTACATTTTATTATTAAATTGTAATATTTCTTTATATATTCTAGATAAAATTCTTTATTAGATACAGTTGGAATTCTGTATCCATGGATTCATCTGACTATGGATCAAAACTACCTTAAAAGTTTGCATCTGTATTGGACATATGCAGACTTTTTTGTCATTATTCCCTAAGCAGTATAACAAACAAGTACTTCAGTAGCATTTACATTGCAGGTACTAAAGATAATGCAGAGAGGACTTAAAGCATATGAGAGGATTGCATAGATTCTGTGCAAATACTGGGCCACTAATATATGGGGCTTGAGCATCTGTGCATTTGGGTATTCTTGGAGGGTCCTGTAAACAATCCCTCACAGACACAGGTTACTCCAGAGGCACCTGCACACCCATGTTTATTGCGGCAATATTGACAATAGCCAAGTTATGGAAACAGCCAAGATGCCCCACCACTGACGAATGGATTAAGAAAATGTGGTATCTATACACAATGGAATTTTATGCAGCCATGAAGAAGAACGAAATGTTATCATTCGCTGATAAATGGATGGAATTGGAGAACATCATTCTGAGTGAGGTTAGCCTGGCTCAAAAGACCAAAAATCGTATGTTCTCCCTCATATGCGGACATTAGATCAAGGGCAAACACAGCAATGGGATTGGACTTTGAGCACATGATAAAAGCGAGAGCACACAAGGAAGGGGTGAGGATAGGTAAGACACCTAAAAAATTAGCTAGTGTTTGTTGCCTTTAACGCAGAGAAACTAAAGCAGATACCTTAAAAGCAACTGAGGCCAATAGGAAAAGGGGACCAGGAACTAGAGAAAAGGTTAGATCAAAAAGAATTAACCTAGAAGGTACCACACACGCACAGGAAATTAATGTGAGTCAACTCCCTGTATAGCTATACTTATCTCAACCAGCAAAAACCCTTGTTCCTTCCTATTATTGCTTATACTCTCTGTACAACAAAATTAGAAATAAGGGCAAAATAGTTTCTGCTGGGTATTGAGGGGGTGGGGGGAGAGGGAGGGGGCGGAGGGGGTGGGGGCAGAGGGGAGAAATGACCCAAGCCTTGTATGCATATATGAATAATAAAATAATTTTAAAAATAAATAAGTAAATAAAATAAATAAAAGAGAGTAAGACTAACCAGGCAAAAAAAAAAAAAATCCCTCACAGATACGGAGGGACAACTCTGTATGGTGTGCAGAAATATTCAAGTATTCTGAGTTGTCTTTGCATTTTTTTTTGATATCTTCATATCCTTTGGAGTGTGGAAGTTTTACATTTTGATGTCTAGTTCAATTTTTTTCTCTTGCTTATATTTTTGAGCAAACCATTGGCTCATACAAGGTCGTGATGCATTGTGCCTATTTTTGTTTGTTTGGTTTGGATTGATGTAGTTGGTTTTTTGGGACAGGGTGTCTCCCTGAGGCTCAGGCTGGCATTAAACTTGCAATCCTTATGCCTCAGCCTCCCAAGTGCTAGGATCACAGGCACGGGCCATCACACCCTGCTGTACCTGTGTTTTATTCAGAGAGTTTTAGTTTTAACTCTTACATTTGGGTCTATAATCCATTTGGAATTGGTTTCTGTATCCGCTGCTACATACTCCTTGGTTACCCATTGCTATGGTTAAAAGCTGGATCAGTGCCGGATGCTTTCCCTGTATTTACCAGTTTTTATAATAAGTAGTTGGCTCTCAAGTCTTTGTATGAAGCTGTTTGTTTTCTTTGACACTTGGATTTAAGTGTATTTGCAATGATATATGTTTTATCAGAGACAGATGCCTGCGTTCTGCTTGAGTGAGTATAATATTGGGGTGGTTCTCATTTGAAATCTTGGTCCTCCCAAGGAGTGGGGGAAGAAGGGAAAGGAACAGCCATTCCATAGGGCAGAAGGAGAGGCACGAGGAGAAATGATTGCCGGGTCACACCAGCTAATAAGTGCAGGTGCTGCCCCTGTGTCTGACTCTTCTTGTGTTCCTGCCTGTCTGTATACCAAACACTCAGAACCCTTGAGTGGAGCCGGGATTTAGGGTTGAGTCCCATCTCAAAGGCTTTGTAACCAAGGCCTTTTTCTGGGCCTTGGTTACTTGCCCTGTGAAACTAAAAGGCTAGAACAGCCAATTCCCAAGAAGGAGCAGATTTGTGTAGGTCGCCTGCTGTGAGACGCAGCCCTGGCTTTGCTGTGCCAGAGTGGAGCCCTGTCGTACCTCTTCACAAGGGTCTGATTTAGGCTTTCATCTCCAAAGAGAGGGTAACAGGGTTAACAGTGCTCATGCCAGCTTTTAACTTCACACTAGTACATGGCATTTGACTTTTTAATTAGAACTTTGTATTACACTTAAATACGGCTAATGAAATTTTTTAAACTTTGTGTATATGTGTGTAATTTATAGAGACAAGTGGTTGTTTTTAACCTTTTATCCCAGCCATCATACCCTAAATTTCCATCTACCCATTTGTATTCCAGAAACATGCCAAAGGCCAGGACTTGTTTGACCAGATCGTGTACCACTTGGACCTTGTGGAAACAGATTACTTTGGTCTCCAGTTCCTTGATTCTGCCCAAGTCACGGTATGTCTGGCTTTCCTTCATTTCAGGACAGATTGGCTTCTTATTTTGATTACAGATCCACAGTCACTAGAAATTGGTGGGGAAAAGTGGGAGTGAAGCTGTAATACTGTTCTAGTAATGAGCATTGGCAGTGGTGACAGTGCCTGAGTGAAGTGCATCCATGATGCTTGTGGGATTCCCTCATCCTTGAGGTGGCCAATAACTAGGAGGATGTGTACAGAGGGGGCATGAAGGAAGCCTTTCTGAGCAGAGGGTGCATATGGACACATTTCTAGAACAGGTAGGAAGAGGAAGAAATACATTTTTAGAAATTTTTCCAGTGGTGCTGCTTTTATTTTTAATCAGCCGAAGAGGCTTTTCACCATCTTCTTGTGGAGTCTGGCTGGCTAGGGAGCCAGTGCTGTGAATGCACCTGTGCCCCAGGCAGGCAGTGGAGGGCGAAGGGCAGGGGACAGTTGGAGCAAGCCTTGGCAGTGTATCTCTTGCAGGAGATGGTGGAGGTCAGCATAGATGTCCCTTGTTTTCTCAGAGGCAGAACTACTTATGGTGGAGATGCTGAAATGAGTGATCTCCACAAAGCTCAGAACCCTTCTTTTTAAAAGTAGGAGTGACTTCAGAGTTCCCCTTGCCAACAAGATCTAGCCTTGTGTTTCAAAGATACTTTATTAAACAATTTAATAGTGTTTGAGTGTCTGTTGTACACTATGCCCTGCCCTAAGCATTGTGGGTAAAACAGTGAATGTAGGTGCTGTATGTCACAGGAAGGGAGAGACAGAAGGAGGACAGGGTGCTTAGTTAGACCATGTCTTGAAACCTGGGGTCCCTGGGAAGATGTTTGGGCTACAGACTTCATACCTGAAGGATACTACTAGATACTTTCTGAGGATCACATGTGACAGTTGTAAGATGGAGCTGCTCAAAATTGGCTCATGACAGGCCGGCCCTGCTGGTGCCTGCCCTCATCTCTGTGTCTTGGTGTGTGCTCTTTCCCTCCCCTGAGCTTAGACTTCTGGCTGTCCTCTAGAACATCTCCACTGAGCCTGTCATAATGTGAGCTCTGGAGGCTCTTCCTCTGTGCAAGCCTCAGACCTTATTTGCCTGCCTTGGCAGTTTGCTCACACAGCCTCAGCTTCCTTATTTGTTTATATAAAACAGAACCTTCTGACTTGGTCCTAAGACTTTGGACTTCCTCTTCATAACTTGGTGACTTTAGGGGACAAGGCACACAACCTGGCACCTTCTTATTTAGCCTCACAAGGGACCTTAGGAGAGGCATTTGTCAAATCTTAGACCTTGGCAAGTCACACAGTGAGTAGCACAGCTTGAACTCAAACCCAGGCTTTGCAATTTCAGGTGGATGTGCTTGTTGTAGGACACTGTGCCCTTAGTGTTCAAATCTGTAAAGTGGATATAGTACCTTCTATTTTGTAGGGAACTGAGGAACCTGAGGTAGAAAAAGTTTATAATCTGGAATGTGTTGTGTGGGTCTCTGTCTTAGTCTTCTTGATATTGCAATAGCAAAATACCTGAATCTGGGGACTTTATAAAGTATGGAGGTTTATTTAGAAGTTGGGAGTCTAATATGGTGGCCCCATCTGGTTGGCTTCTGGTGAGGGCATTCTGATTGCCTTTTGACATGGCAGAGAAGAAGAAAGGGAAATAGTTGCATGCAACAAGGACCATGTGTGTGGTATCACCTAGCTTTTTAACAACCCACTCTCTTGAGGACTAATCCAGTCCCAGGAGACCTAACCCACTCCCAGGAGACAGGCATCATGAGGATGAAACCTCCATAACCTAATTTTCTTCTATTAGGCTCCACCTTTTAAAGGTTCTGCCACCTCAGTACCATGACCTGGGCCTCCAGCCTTCCAACACATAAGCTTTTAGGGACAAACCTCTCCGTAGCTGAGCAGACTGAAGGGGGGGGGACGACAGTCATCATGATGAGACCCCTGAGGAGGTGAGGTTAGGTGAAACCTGCAAGTTGTGTTGCCTGCAGAAGAAACTTTAGCAAATTTAAGCAAGAACCCTTTGGGAGAGTCTGCTAGGTTGCTACTGCTGGCTGTCAACCCAGGAGGTGACAGGGAAGTGTTTCTAGGGGAGAGTGGGGTGACATGGGAATCTGGAAGGGAGTAGTTCACTTGGCCACTGGCTTATTGCCCCAAGGTTGGGGCTCTTTCAAGTATTCACACCCCCACCCAGCCTTTGACATGGTGATAAGACTGCTGGCAGTGGCCTGGCCAGGCTTCTGCTGTAGCTCTCTGTGTACCCAGCTTATATCTTCAGCTCCCTGAAAAGAGCCAGGCCTGATTTCCATAGTGCCCTGCCCAGCCCTGAAGCAGTTGTCACAGCCTGTTGGCATCACCTATTTTTAGCAGTTGGAGTTGGGACCTCCTGTTTCGCTTTCCTATGTCAAAGAAAAAGGCCATCCAGGGACCCCACTCTACCAACCTTACTTGAGTACAGCTGGAAGCACTGGCTGGAAGTGTGATTTTACATATCAAAGCTTTCTTCTGAAAGCAAAGGGCTTTGGCCTGCTCTCCCCGCTTTTTCTTCCCCCCAGCTTCCACACTGCCTAGTCAGGAAAGCTGCTGTTTACCTAGTTCCTGCTGTGAGCCAAGCATTGATCTAAAGGTTTTACATAACTTGTTAACATTCATCATTGACCTATAAAGCTAGCAGTAAAGCAGACCCATTTTATAGGTGATGAATCTGAGGCTCACAGACATTAAGAACCTTGTGAAGGTTAAAGTAAGGACAAAGCCTGGATCCACAACTTGGTCTTATTCCAAAGCCCAACACTGTCCACTGAACTGTACAGGTTCTGTTCCACACATGGCATATATGCATGCACACGCATACACACACAGAAGGAAAGAGAACATTCGCCAGTGTAGGCTTGGAGCATACCCAGTGCTGAGCTCTGTGGGTGCAGACATGAGCTGGACACTATCCCTGCCTACCACATTCGGTGGTAGAGACAGACACCTAGTCCCTTGGAGTACAGCGTGGTCAATTCTCTCTTAGAGGGAGCCTGGAGGAGATTGTATCTGAGCTTGCAGATAAAATGAACAGGGTGTGAGCGGGGAACAGCGAATGCTGGTGTGAGGTTCATAGACGGGAAGAGGAGTTTGCCAGGTGGGTGGAGGACGGGCAGGGAAGGGGGTGGTAATAACAGCAGTCCTTCTCGGAAGCAGGTGTTCTGGAGGGTAGAAATGGCCACTCTAAGTCCCTTTCCTAAGCCCGTTCCCGACACTGGTGGGGAGATTTTTATCGAGATAGATTTTGCAGCAAGTAGTTCAGAAAAGAGGATTTGGGGCCTTTGTCTCAAGACTTGTCATGGGCTTTTCCTCTGATCTTTGCAGTACAAGAGCCAGGGCTGTATAGTGAGGTCAACACACACACAGAGATGTGGTGATTGCTGGCAGGGCTCTGTGGATGCCAAAGGGCCTCTGGGCTCTCAGCTTCCTACTGCCACTTGCTTGGAAGGTCTTTGTTTACCATGTTCAGGCACCACAGAGCTGAGCAGCTGTTGTAAAAGAAAGGGGTAGAATGCTTGCCTAGCATGTGCCAGGCTCTAGGTTTGATCCCCAGCACTGCAAACAACAATAATAATAATTAATAATGATGATGATGGTGATAATAAGGAGCAATCACTCAGAGTAGGTAAAGGGGGAGTAGGAGAGTATAAACTCTAGAGGTGGCAAAACCTCTTCCTTCCATCCACTTAAGTCATGTGGTTGAGTTTCCCTGGACACTCGGCTGGACCTCCAGACAGCGTGTAAGGGGCCAGCTCCGCTCACAGGTGGGGAAGCTTAGGTTCAGGTGTGGGAGCCACACTCTTGAGCATACACTAGTGAGTGGCAGAGCTGGGACTTGAAATCTGGTCCTTTGCCTTCTTCTGTGGTGGGTCAGAGAAGTGTCACAGGCCTCCGGCAACCCAGCTAAAATGCTGACAGTGAGAGGCTGGTGAGTTTTGCTGCCTGTGTGCAAATATCAGTGCTGAATGCAAAACTAATGAAAGGGGCTCTGTAACTGATTTAGACAAATCCCTAAGAAAAGCTCAAGTAGTTGGTGTGAGTTTGTGGGCTTCACCCCCCCACCCCACCACAGATGGAGAAGGCACTTGGAGTCCATTTGTGGTGTAGACACTAGGACCAGTGAGTTTGAATCCTGCTGCCCTCACTTACTAGTGCCATACCTCCCAAACTCTCTTTAGGGCCACCCCTACTTGCTCAGGGGCCGAGTCAGATGTCAGATGTTCCTCCCTTCCCTTCCTTCTCTCTTCATCCTATGGACACAATTACCTCTGCAGATTCTTCCAGCTATAATTTAATCACAAGCTAGATAGTCTTCTTAAGCCATGAAAATCTGTAGGTTCTAAAAATCCCATTATGTGTTCCATTGGCAGGCTCCATGGCAAGGGCTCTGCAGATGTTCAAGCAAAGCGACCTTAGTCCCTCTTTAACCTCTGAGCATTCCGTGTTGACTTCAGCCCATTTAATTCTAGAGCCAGCCACGTGCATCGTATTTCTAGAATTGATGCACTTTGTCAGATTTTCCTCACACATCTGACTAATGGGAAGGGCTTTGCCAGATGGACTTGGATAACAAATTCATATCAGAAACTAACCTTGCTAACACCCATTACAGTGTGAGTTAAATGTCTTGCCATTTGAACTCAGAAATGCATCTGTCTGTGTGCAGTGACTGGTTTAATGGTCTGCTGAGAGGCCTAAAGCCATTTGTCTTGGCCTATACTGACAGGTGACCTGGCTATGTTTAGCAGGGATACAGGTGAACATCCCAGACAGGTCCCACTGCTGCTGAATACTGTCTTCAAAGCTGCACAGAAGTACAATTTACTAAATGCCACGTTGGGCTTTCAGTGTCCCAGTACTCAAGTCATGGGGGGGTCTTGTGGGACAAAATACAAATGATCAGACCCTGGTAAGCTCCTCAGTTAGGAAGAAAGTCAAGTCATTTTTGAGCTGGTTGCATACCCCGTAAGTTTTATCATCTCTCATTTTAGGATTGTGACTAGGCTTCTTATCGTCTCTGATAAGCTCACCAAAACCTGACCTGAAAACACCCAGTGGTCAAGGAGCTTTCAAGAGCTCAGTCTTTTCCATAGCAAGCCCCAGTCTTTTCCATAGGCCTCCAGCCTGGCAAGCCCTGCCTCAGGCAGGAAGGATGGAGCCCAGCCTAGCAGTGAGTAAGGGAGTTCTATGAGCAATGTGGCCCTGGTCTGCTGCCTGTAGGAACATCTGGCAACAGGGGTCTGCCTGTGTTTTAACGCTGGCCACAGATATTTGGCCATTTCATCTCTTGGACTGGTCCATAAACCCTGAAATTGCTGGAGATTTTACAGAACTCAAATAGCCCCATTTTCAAAGGGGGCTGTAGATGATTTAAGATTATCAGGGCATCTTCCTGGGTAGGAAAAGATACAGAAGACTTCAGTACTAAATATTGAGTAGGCACCCTGGGAGCATTTATGAAACACAATGCTGTGAGACTCTGTTTAATGGGTCTGAAAATCTGGGCCAAGGAAAGCACACAAGCTGGATTTGTTTGGAGATGCCAGGACGACAGTGGAGTGGAGCAAAGGCGGGCTTCAACTCCATCTATTAAGAATAATGGTAAGGAAATTGGAAAGAAAGGAGCTCACAACTCCTTTAAGCAGTGAGCCTATAGGACTCCTTAGACTAGAAGGCTGATTGCGGGGAGAACTTTTGGTGCCTGGGAATGATGCATTTATGTAAGCACAGGTTTAGTCATAGAAAGCCATTAGTATGGTACTTGGCAGAAGAGTCAATATGCTTCTGTCCAGTCTGTACTGCCCTCCCAGGGTGAAGTTGGGGGTTTTCATCTTAGTTGATGGCAATGGTGATAGATAAAATCTCATGATGAAAAACTGCCTGCTATGATAGGCAAACAATAAATATAGAAGCGGTGACATCCCCACCTACCCCCTCCTGCAAATAATAATCTCATTATAATAAAACTGTTATGCAGAAGAGCTGGGAATGGTGGTTCACACCTGTATTTCACACTTGGGAGACTGAGGCAGGAGGATATATGAGTTCGAGGTCAGTCAGTGCTACATTGCAAGACCCTGTATAAAAAAAATTATGCAGAAAAATAAAAAGTAAAAAGTAAATGACGCTCAAAGCTGTGCCATAGAAAAATAACTCCTATAAATCTTTCTGGATGTACCGTGACAGAAAATAATTATTTAATACAAATAGGATCCTCCCTGATTTTTTCCGCTCTAATATGGTGCTGTGGCTCTCTTGCCACATCAATAAGTATTGACCAATTAATAATATTACCTCAATAAATATTACCTCAGTTGTAAATAGTATTTCATTACATGGACGAGCCCTTTTTAAATGTGTTTTGTCGATGGGCATTCAGGTTATTTCCAATTCCAAGCTATTAGCAATGAGATAACTCGTCTGGTGCCTCCTGTACGTGTGCTGTTGCGATCGGCATCCTGCTGTGGCTATCTGCTGCTTTTATTAGGTTGGCCTAGCTGGAAGTGGGGATGACAAAAGCCTGGGTTCCATCACTCTATTCCAGGCTTATTGTGTTATAACTCATGTGTTATTTCCTTTTGTTTCCTACACCCTCCTCCCACTCAGTCTTCTTGGGCTCTGTGGTTAGGTGTAGAGTACACTGTGCTGGGTTAGCCCCACCCTTTCTCATTTAGCATGTGCAGAGTTTAGATTGCTTGTGAAAGTCCCTGGCAGTCAGCAGAGCAGCCTCTGGTTTGGAACAACTGGTGAGAAACCCACTCCAGCTGTATCATTCCAACTGCTTTTCCAGTGGTGAAGTTTCAACATGCATGGGGTTTACTGATGTTGATAGGGGATGTCCCTAACTCACCTCATTTAAAAAAATATTCATATAACATTTATTTATTTCTCAATCTAATAAGGGCCTGCTGAGCACCAGGCCTTGTGTCTGCCACAGGAAACAAAGGAACACTTAAATACACAGTCCCTAGTCTCCAGGGGCTTAGGTTTGGAGGGGCTCACAGTACAAATAGTCCCTGGCTTGTGATGGTGCAAAAATGATATGCACTCAGTAGAAAACATACTTCAAGTTCTCAGTTTTGGTTTTTTCTTGGGCTAGTGATACTCTCTCTAGATCCTGGGCAGTGGCAACCAGCACAGCTCCTAAGCAACCACACAATCACAGGGTAAACAGCCAGTGCGTGCAGTGTGCCGTGTTGCTTATTGAGTGCGCTTTCAATATATGATGGGTTTATCTGCACACGGCTCCATCCTAATCAAGGAGCAGCTGTAGATGTTCCTAAATGTCGCTTTCCATGGAGGTTAGGCTGCTAAGCCTCCTGAGACTGTGGGATCAACAACTTTTGACATTGTGAAGAAACTCTTATATAAGGGAAATGTTTTTGTAATCTCCTTAGATGGATAAGACTGAAGTCATTCTGGTAAAAACAAAGAGGAAACTGAAGTACCCTCATTGGCCACAGCAAGATCATATTAGGCAAATCCCTGCCTGTCTTCCCATCTACAGTATGGGTTTTCCTGACAAAAGAATAAAGGGATTTTGAACTTTGGTTCTGTAATTTCATAGTTTAGGGAGTCAAAACTGTAAGACTGACATATAATGAGAGTCTCACCATTGTAGTTTATACTTTTTGCTAGATTAATGAAAACTTGGAGATTGGGCTGGGGATGTAGCTTGAGTGGTAGAGCTCTTGCCTATCAAGTGCAAGGCCCTAAGTTCAGTACCACCAAGAAATAAAACATGACTGGAGAATATGGACTGTAATGTGAGGAGCTTGGAAGGAAGAGGTAGTGCTTCCGCTGGCTGGAAAGAGACTTGGCAGATAAATTGGTTAAGGGGTTTTGAGTTCTTTCAGCTACCTCTTTAACAAACTTACGGAACCTGTAGCCCTCTTTCCAGAAAAATGCATGTATGTACATAAACACAATACAATACTGATCCAGTCCCCACGTTACAGAAGGGGTAATTATAGGGGCTTATGACCCTGCTAGTGAACTATTCCTGAAGAAACACTTTTCTTTCTTTCAGCATTGGCTGGATCATTCCAAACCCATAAAAAAGCAAATGAAAAGTAAGTAAATGCAATTTAGTCTACTCATATATTTCTTTTATATGTGAGTAAGCTCCTCTGCCAAGGCTTTGAGGTCTTAGGGTTTCATCTAGAGCTTAAAAGCGTTTTCAAATAGATCCAGTTTTAAGTGGATGACTTTTAATTTCTTAAAGCTGGCCAAATGTTAGAGTTTAAAATTTGAGTGTTTGTAGTAGATATTAAAAACTATACTCTCATTTGAAATCAGACACCTCTGCCAGTGAGAACTGAGCAATGTGCTATTCAGAAATATGACTTTACACCTACTTTGTTCACTTCCAAAATAAGTTTCAAAGTAGCCTCAGAGAATGGGCAAGTAGGAGTGCCCTTTGGGAGTGTGGTCCAGCTCACTTCTTTACAGGTATGGTAACTCCATTTTTCCTAATATTGTTTCTGCTTGGGTCATTTAAAAAATTACATTCTCTTAAAAACACTTTAAGGTATTTTTACTGTAATTTTGGATAGAGCTTTAGTTTTAGATGAACACTTTGCTATTTATGTATCACTCTACTTTAGCCCACTTTGTACTTTGCAAAATGTAGGTATCAGTTTGGAGAATCTTGGCATCAGAGGCACAAGTGAAATGCCAGCTCTTAGTAAGTCATCTAGATGCTTAAGATTTTTCTGCCAGAATGAAGTTCCCCAGATAAGCCATCTTAGCCAACCTAAAAGTCCATTTCCATTTTCTAAACGAGGATTGAAAAGAATGCATACTAGCTTTGCAAATTGTGCCCTCCAAATAGAGAGGTGAATATGCTATGGACTTAACATGTTTTTCCTTTTGTCCATTCTGTGATCTTCAAAATTGGGGGAAAAACCATCTTCAACTTTCCATCTCCAAATGCTTAGTTGGACCTGCTTATGCTTTGCACTTTCGAGTTAAATACTATTCTTCAGAACCGAACAACCTTCGAGAAGAGTTTACAAGGTAGGACACCATGTGCAGAAGAAGATTCTGCTCAGTAGCCCTTGCCTTATATATGGGTCTTCTACGTCTTGGATTTGCTTCCCTTTCTGTCCATGGTCTATATTGCTAAGCAAGAGTTAGTTATTAGCATTTTTGTTGGGCTTCTGTATTCTGTTGAAAATTCACATCTTTGCTTATTTTTTCTTAGAAATAGAAAATAGGTGAATTTTCTTCTCCAGTTTCTATTTTCTTGGACCTTAGGTGAATTGGTTGGTTGTTCTGTGGCATTTTATTTTTGTCTCAGCTACAAAAAGGGAGAGCAAACATTGAGAGAATGTTTCTCTGTCCAAATTTGCCATATTATTTTTTTAAGGGGCGGCAGTACACTCTCTTGTTTGTTACAATAGAAGGTACCCTCTCTTTAAACAAATTGCAAGAGTTACAACAAAGTTGTTAGAATTCTTTCAGTCCCATTGAATTTTTTTTAATGCAGTACCTCCTGTATTTGTTTATCTCTTGCACTACAGAAACACGTGTAGAAGCAAAAGAGAACTTAAATTTTAAGTGTGGAGTTTCCTTCCTACTACCCTTCCATCAGTGAAATTCTTTTTTCCTGCTTTTTGTACCCAAGGGCCTCCTTCTCACTTTTTTGTGTGTGATGGATAAGTAGTGGTGACATGTATGCACTTGGGTGGCCGCAGTGGTGGCCTCTAGCTTGGAGATGGCCATCCACATGGTGTTTTAAAAACTGATCAGTTATCACCAGTGCCCCACTAGAAGCACTTACGTAGTTAGGTTTTCCTCCAGGAGTGGATATATCTGACAACACTGGCACTGTGCTCCATTTGATGTGAGTACACAAGTCAAGCCAGTGTCCTGAATTTCAGAAATGAAGTGCAATTACAGTGAAGCACCTGTTGAAGCAAGAACATTCTGGACTGTGCTAGAACCTTCAGCCTCCCCACACTCTTTAATTTCTGGGTCATCCACAGTCTCATATATCCACTCCACGGAATGCAATGGCCTGCATTGTTTCCAAGGTTCCAACAAATTAAATTTCCAGCTCTGAAGAGGTTCAGAGCTCTTTATGAAACATGCTACTCCTAGCTGTCACCAAAGCCTGTGGTTTTTGAGTCAAGATGTGTGAATCAGAAACACCTGGGAAGCTTTTAAACAAATCAGATTCCTGGGGGCCACTCTTGCATGTAGGATTCTGATTCCTTAGGCATGGAGTAGCAGCTTTGGTTGGTACAAAGCACTGTAAGTGGTGTAGGTGCCCACATCAACCATAAAAAAAAAGAAAACTATATTAAAGCCAAAACTTTTTTTTTTTGCATAGGTAAACCCTGATTGTGCTATTTGCTGCCTTCTTAAAATTTTTTTTAATACCCCTGTAACTAGTTCCAGTCTCCCTCTAGGATTATTCTTGTTTCATGCTTGTGTGTTTGTGTGCATATGCAGCCACATGTGTGTTGTTCGCACACCTTTTTTGTGTTTTAAAAGGCAAGAGTGCAGTTAGACTGTACCAGGAAGAAAAGTTGAAGCTGTTGCTAGCAGACTCCAGTCAACTGTAAACTTTTTGATAGGATTCAGGAATCTGCCAGGTGCAGCTGGCCGAGGGGCGAATCCAGTGGTTCCACCCTGCCCATTTTCTTGGACACATTGCATGCCTATGCGTTGAGCTCTGTGTGCCTGTTTGGCTCCCTTCTCGAGCACCAGGGGCATTGTGGAGGCTGTCATTGGACTGCTCAGTGTTCCATATTCCATCCTGCAAGTATCTTGTGAACTCCCCATGTGTATTCACCTGCCTGGTGAGGTTCTGGGGTGCCTTCTGCAGGCCCAGGAGGAGATGCTTCTACCCTCGCTCTCATTTGCTTTGGACTCCCTCTTGACCATGCACAACTCCAGGCTGTGCCCCGGGTGGGATTTGTGGTGGGCAGTTGGGAATTGGAGGCAGCTGGGAAAGGGTTACCCTTTGTTGACTTTTGTATGTGTTTGTCAGGTACCTGTTTGTTTTACAACTCAGGCATGACATTCTTTCTGGAAAGTAAGTATGTTTTTGTTCTAACTCTTAACCCAAAACAGATCATAGTTTACTTCAAAACAGTTTACTGTTTTAACTCTTTTGCCCTTGTTCCCTTTTCACAATTCAAAAAAAGTGCACCAGGCATTGTAAAGTGAGTCTAACACTTGTATCACTGTCATTATCATTCTATTTTAAATGATTACTATCTGGCTTGAAGCATTTCCAAGAGCATTTAATATCTTAAGTGATGTGTATTTGGGAATAATTCTCTCCCTGATCACATCCCTGCCCCATTCATAATGGCTTTTGTTGTATTTGCAAGCAAGATACATTATTAGTATGTATACACGTACAAGAATTTGGACAGTCATTCATCACCATCCATATTGAAGTAATGCAGAGGCTGTACTCCAGTTCTGCTAGGAAAGGTTTAGACATCTCATCTCATTTCCTTTCCTCCTCTTAAAAATGGTTATTAAAGACTAGGCTTTTGGCTATCCACAATGATTATTGAGTACGAGCAGCATTATCACAGAAGTGGTTGATTTTACGTGCAATGTTAATTTATTTTAAAGACAAGAGATTTCAACAGTCATAGCCTTTACAGTTACATCATTTTTCAACATCATTATATTTTCTGATCCATGAAAACCTAAGGCTATATTGAATCTAAGAAGCAATAGCTGATATTGACAAGAATACATTTTGATTTTGAATGTAATCTAAGGAAACTGAAAATGTAATTTCCGAATTTGCAAACTCTCAATAGAAATATGTGCTATAAAACTTTCAGTGGAATATGCTCCGTAGAACAAGTAGATTGTACAGTGTATACATTTGCCTTATTTGGTCATGCAATACAGATCTTTGATTGGTGTGTATTATGAGTGTGTGTGCATTTTTATCTTTCTCCATAATGTGCTCCTCATACTAAAGACCTTGTAACTGTAGAAATTGTCTTCAGTTTGGAAAAACAGTAATGGCAGCACTTTGCATTTGTACAGTACTTTGCAGTTTATGTCCACTTACACCTGGTTTATTATACTTCTAAGCAGAATGATGTAGTGGTCCCAGCATTGGATGCCATATCAGCTGGGTAACCTCAAGTGAGAACCCTCGACACTCATTTTCTTATCTGTAAAATGGAAGATGGGGGGACATTGACCACATCCTTCCTAAGGATTTGCAAACTTGATGTATTGACCAAATTGGATAATACATATGAAAAGACTTTGAAAACTATGAAGTGCTATACCAATGTATGTCATTACTATTTTTCTAACTTAGAAATTTTAAGTATGAATGAGATCACTGGATTTGCAGTAATACTTTTCTATGGCTGTGCCTCAGTTACACTTATTAGAATGCTGAGTGCATCCAGCTGTCCTGGCAGTATTAGATAGTGTGTCTGTGTGTTTATTTTTAACAGTTTGACCTTGTTTCAAGAAATATTTAAGGCAGCTTGAAAAGATGTACATAGTGTATCAAGATAAAATAAATTTAAAATAAGTTTTAAAATAATAAGGCAAACAGAAGCCTTTTCATTCTGTTTTCAGAACTTCCCTATTCTTGCTACATTTAGTAAAATTGTCCACATGGTTGATAGAAAGTATATCTAGATTGGGTTATTTTGATATATAAGAACTGACTTTGGGAAATTTGTAATGTAAGTCAGTTTGCTTGCATTCTTTAATGTAGGCAGCAAAAATATGAACTACTAAGAACCAAAATCATTGTTTGGCTGTCACTACCTTTTGAAGAATGATATATGTGGACACTTTGCATGGGCTTGAGTATATAGCTTTGTATGTAGAATTAATTTCTTTTCTTTCTTTTTCAAGATTGAAATGCCCCTATGAAACGGCTGTGGAATTAGCTGCTCTCTGTTTACAAGGTACATTAATCTTCAGCAGTAATTAGTGTTTTAAAATTATTGTTTCTCACTTCAACAATTGAGTGTGTGCTATGTTTCAGGCCTAGTGCTCTACTTTGTCCCAGGTTATAAATGAGTATGATATGGTCTCTGTGCTCAAAAGCTTGCAGTTCAGTGAGGAAGGCAGACTCAGAAGACCACATCACAGTTTCTGCAGCAATAGAAATGCACAAGAGGCTTGGAAGAGGCAGAGCCATGGAGGGATGCGGAGTGCAAGGCCCAAAACAAGTGCAGAGAGGGGCTGCGGATGTAGCTCAGTGGTAGACTGCCTGCCTGGCATGCATAAGGCCCTGAGTTCCATCCCCAGCACCACAAAGATAAATAAATAGTAAGAGTATAGAGATGGAGGTAGCAACAGGTGGGTAGCATGGTGGGGTGACGTGAAGTTTGGGAAGCTGTATAGGTGGACAGACTTAGACCCCATTAGAAGAGTGTGAACTTGCAGTTATCAAAATGCCCCTGCAGGCTCTTGAGGAAGCAGGCCCGGTCAGATGTGGGTTTTGGAAAGACTCCATTGGCTGTATGGGGAGAAAGAGCTGGAGCAGAACCAAGACAGGGGCTCAGAATGGTGAAAGGTGTTGCTGTAACAGAAGTAATAGGAAACTGAGTAGGGCAGGTGGTAACGCACATGCCAAAATCAGCCCTGGCAGTAGAGAGAGCTGGCTTTGTGGCTGAGACTTAGGTGTGAGAGATGAGTCAGAGATGACTCAGGCTGCTTGTGGGGGTGGGTGGTCAATGGAGAGTGGTTAGGAGAGTCCATTGGAGGAAATGACCGTGTGGGTGTCTGGGCTGAGAGGTACCATTGTGGCAACAGCTTCTCCAGTGTCTGAGTGTGGCTCATTCCAGAGTCAAGCTATGAGCAGTGCTATGTGGTCACCAGAAACTGGATGGCAGGACGTCTGCCTGTAGCATCATCCACGTTGCCTGTTCATCCACAGGAGGCACTGGTAGATCCTAGTTTAAAATGCATAAGGAACACTTGCTGAAGTCTCCAGCACTAATTAAGAGAATTCTAATGTGTAGCTGCACATGCGGGATTTCATTAGCACATCAGATAGACATATGTTGTAGACTCACTTATCACTGTGCTCACTGGCTTTGACTGGATTACGAATTATGATATATTCATTCATAATGAGCATTTGTGAACATCATAAGATTTGGCTTCCCACTTTTGCATTTCACCAATTTTTGAAAGGTGATTTGAGAAGTGTTCAAATTATAAAATCAGTACACACTTATTACAGAATATCAGGACCATAACATAGTTATCAGGTAAGTTGAAGGAAAGAAGTGATGCCCTATCCCACAGGCATCCAGAGTACCTATCTATGAGTTTTGAGTGGGTTTCTGAGAAATGTAATTCTTATCAGTCATATTCACATTTTTGTATTTTTTTTAGTTATTTTAGCAAACATATTTTGTCACATTTACACTCATAAAGATGGCTGTTAATGACTGCAGAATACTCCACTAACTGGATACTTTATAGGCCCCTCTTAAGTCCTGTCATGTAATGGGGCTGCCTTGGAGTAGATACCCAGTAAGTACGGAATAAACAAAGGGATATAGTTGGATTGAAGGTGGTCTGCTTGTGTGGAGGTGACAATAACGTCACCTGAAGCCATCTGTGCCAAATACAGAGCTGAGTGCTTCCTACCCATATAGGTCTGATGCAGCAGGCCTTGTGGTGAGCACGATAGCATATGCAGGGCTGGGAACATGGCAACGGCCTCTCCTCATTGGCCAGGTACAGACTTTATGAGTGTAGCCAGTGCCCTTCATCCTCCTTGCCGTTCCTGAGTGGTAGGAGGCCACATCATCAGGCTTGACAGCCCCCGACGAGATGTCACTGTTAGTGAAATGAAAGTCCCCATGTCAGGCCTAGGGCCCTGACTCACCAGAGAGGTATCCTCCTAAGGCTGATGGCAGAATATTGCCAGCTTGTCCATTGTGCTGAATGATAAGAGGACATGATGCATGTATTGCTTCAATCCCTGCCCCCTGCATGATAGAGGCCACACCACACTCACAAAGTCCAGCTCTAGTTCAACCATTTGCCTTGCCCACAGCAGACTAGACAGGAAGGTCAGCCGTCTGTGAGCCTTGCCTGGAGAAATGACCCATTAGAGTTGGAGCGATATCATTAGTGTAATTTAAGATATAATCATTATGTCAGGTACAAATAAGACTTTGAAGACAGACACAGAGACTGGGAAGCCCTTGTCACATTGTTCCTCATGTTCCCTCCCCACCCATTTCCTAAGTCAGTGCTCTGGCCTTCTTGCTGCTTCCGCCTAGCCGAGCTGCTTGCCCTGGACGCTGAGCATTAAGAGTGACTCTGCGGGTGTGCATAAAATAGAGATTTGTGTTTTTTCCCCGGCTTGAGCCTTGAAGACATATCTTGCTGTGGCTATCCTTGAACTAATGGTGCCTCCTGAATGGTGATACAGTGGTTCTGCATGGAGGCTGTGCGATTTGCAAAATACATTTGGGAAGCAGATTTGAAAATTAATCCAAGTGAAAGGGGAAAGGAAAGGGAAGAGGAAGAATGAGAACGTCATTTGTCATCACCTTATAACAATCCCATTTTGCAGATAGGGATCAGAAACATGGTGGCTAAGTGACTTGGCCACGGTCACTCAGATAGTGTATGGCAGAGCTGGGATTCAAGCTCTCCTGTTTGAGTTGTTCTGTCACCCTTCCATAACCTCTCTGGAGCTGGGGCCTGGCTGCAGAGGTGGTGATTACTTGAGTGTCAGGTCCTTCTAGCAGAGTCTTGGAAGGCACGGTGGAGACCATGTCATTGTCTGGGTTCTTCCTCCAGTACCCAAAGATGCCAGTGGCTCAGCTAATCTTGCCTCATCCAGACACACTACTAAAGGCAGGGCTCCATTGCCTCCATTTGCCTCATTTTGTGGGTGCAGGGGAATGGGGGTTCATATTACAGGAGTCTCTTTATAGGCTGTACAAACCCTCTGGCTTTTCAGGTTCTTAGTTCAACAGTGACCTCTTGGACAGAGGTCAGTGGTGGCCTCCATCCTGGGGAAACCAGCCCCACCTTTTCTGGACAAACACTGTTTCCAGAGCGGAGTCTTCATTTGTGCCTTTGCCCAAGTCACCATGCTGCTAGATACCCTGACTCAGACTCCCCTGGTGGGGGATGCACATGAGGGGCTGCATTCAAGTGGAGTGGCACTCTCCTGGTCCCCATCTGTGCCAGACGTTGCCCAGACATCTCTCACTGTCTCCCTGAGTTTGGTTGTACTGCTTCTTTTGTGTAGAGAAGGTTTTTTTTTTTTTTTGAGATAGGGTCTCACTGTGTAACCCAGGCTGACCTTGAACTTGCAGTCCTCCTGCCTCAGCCTCCCAAGTGCTAGGATTCTAGGCATGTGCCACCACATCAAGTTAAAAGAGCAGTTTATCTACTTCAACAAGCCACTGGAGTCCCTCTGCTGAAAGATGGGCTGCAAGGGTTGGGACTCAGGAGCCCCATGCTGGCTGGGTATGGCCTATGAGGTAATGAAAGAGGATGCTGAGTATTTACCCAGTTGCTGCTGTCCTGGAGGTATTCAGGCATATCCAACTTGGTCCCGTGTGAACTGGATGGATATGTGGAGCAGAGGTTTCTGAGGGTGTTTTCCAGTTCCTCAAATGTACAATTTCTAACAATCTAGACCTGAATCAGAAACTGGGTGTGGAGCCCATCAGGTGATGCTGATTAACCCTCATGTTCAAAAGCCACTGTTGTGGATCAGTACATTTCCCAGGAAAGTGTGCGCCCATCCTGGGCATCTTGTGAAAAGGCAGGTGGAACTTGAGAGTCTGCATTTTGAGCAAGCTGCCAGGTGCTATCTGTGCAGCAGCCTTGTGTAACCAGATGCTGAAGGAAACTGGAAGGTTCCTTTCCATTCTGGGCTCTGCAGGAGTGGACTGGGGAGAGTGGGTTTTTTTTCATTCATGTCCCGGAGGGATAGGGACACCTGTGTCCTCAGGCCCTCCATTGTATGGGTGACTTGGCAAGAGCAAGGGCCATGCAGCACTCTTTGGGCTTTTTGCTGGGATGGCCCCATCACTGCTCCTCTGCACAGCTGTCTCTCTCTCAGGTTCTGCCTGACTTGCCACAGTCGCTCCTGCAGCCTGCTCACCCGCTTCCTTCCCTTCCTCCCTCCTTATTTTCTCCCTCAGATTCTCCCTGTACTGAATTCTTGATCCATCCTCCCCAGCACTGCAGACTCTGAAGTGCTGCTCTGACCCACCCTTAATGAGAACCCTGTGCAGTGGGTGTTTCTGGGCAGATCCTCATTGCCTGCAATTGCCTTTTATTGCAGATTCCTACTTCTCAGGGGAATGTAATCGGGGCCTCCCTGGGTGGGAGAAACAGGGGAGGGAGACAGTAGTAACTAAGATGAGGTTGTACACTCGATGGGGAGGGCATCAGAACAATTCTTGGGCATTGTGAGTGTGTATATGGCTACTGGGTGAGAGTTCAGTCCTCCTGCAAGGACAGTGTTGTGCCTCAGGGGTGCCTGTGCTTTATAATCATGCACAATGCCTTTGAAGTCAGTGGTAGCAATAATCAAAAGTGTTCAATGTCTCCTGTTTTTCTCCCTTTTATGAAACGTGCAGCGGAGCTTGGGGAGTGCGAGCTTCCAGAACACACACCAGAGCTTGTGTCTGAGTTTCGGTTCATTCCAAATCAGACAGAAGCGATGGAATTTGATATCTTCCAGAGATGGAAAGAGTGCAGGTACCTTGATGCAACCATCTTGCATTCTGATACGTTTTTTATTTTGTCATATGTGTGTGTTGGACTCCTTTGTCTACCCGTGGAATTGCTCAGTTGCTGACTCTAAAACAGCATCTCCAGTTCGGAACTTCTCTCCTATGCTTCACTCCTGTTTTCCCAAAGTCCCACATGTCATCTCTCTTCTGAGGAATGTGTAGCAAGAATCAAACTATACTGTTTTCTCTAAATACAGAGCCTCACACTGATTTGCTTGTTGCTGCCAAGGGTGCCACCTCTGTCCTGGTGGCACCCCAGGTATGGATAGCTAGGAGGCACTGCCTTGACACCCTCCCACACACCTGGGTCTCTGGTGACCCTGACCTTAACTTTCTAGAGCAAACCTTTTAGAGCTATAGCATCCCTATTTTGAAAATCTGAAATAATTCAAAATATGAAAGTTTTTAGACACTGACATGATGACACATTTGAAAATTCCACACCTGACTTCATAGGACAGGTCACGATCAAAATGCAGGGACAAGAGCTGATGGAGTGGCTCAAGTGGTAGAGCACCTGCCTAGCAAACATGAGGCCCTTGAGTTCAAATCCCAGTACCAACCAACCAACCAACAAACTGTTGCAGGGACAATAAAAACAGTGCATAAAGTTATCTTCGGGCTATATGTATAAGGTGTATATGAAACATAAATGAATTTTGTGTTAAACTTGGATCCGATCCCTAAGATATCTCATTATCTATATGCAGATATTCCAAAATCTGAAAAAGTCTGAAATTATGCATCTGTTGGCCCCAAACATTTCAGATAAGGGTTGCTCAGCCTGTAACTCTAATGTGTAGGAACACTCACAGCTGAGACCATGTGTTATGTAGCATTATATTTCAAGACATGGTCATCACATTGAAAGCCAGCCATGTCATCTAGCTCCCTGCAGCCACCACCCTGATCTAACACTTTTGTGCCTAGACTGGCAACATTGCCTCTCTCCTACTGTCTCCCAGAGGTTCACCTTTCCTCCTTTTGTGTCCTCTCCCTGAAAGCACTCAGACCTGGAGCCTAGCGTGGCCTCTTATTGTCCCTCAGGCCTTCTGAAAAGCCCCAATGACTTTCTTTTTTAATGGAAGGTGGCATGAGTGCATTCTTGTTGTCTAATATTGAAACAATACAGAAATGTGTAACTATAGGGTTGTCCTGCCCTCCCACCCTTGTCACCAACACACAGCCTTCCTCCTCCCCTCAGGAAATAGTCTGCTGAGTCCTTCCAGCCTTTTCCTTTTGCTTACGTTTACATATCTACACATGAAAGCAATCTTATTTTCTTAAATGATTCTATTTATAGGCACTGTTATGTGATCTTCCTATGCAATTAACAGTGTGTTCTTAGAGATCTTTTCCTGCTAATGTAAACTGGTGCCCCGCATTGCTACAATTGCTGCATGACCTTGTATAGTCTGGCGTGCCCTTCAAATGCCTGCGGGTATCTGGGTCCCAGTTTACATGTGTTTCCATTGGTTTTTCTAAGGGGAAAGAGCCCTGCCCAGGCGGAACTCTCCTACCTGAATAAAGCGAAGTGGCTGGAAATGTATGGGGTAGACATGCACGTTGTCAGGGTAAGAACTGTGTATGTTTTAGTAATTTCCTTTTGCTGTTTACTGAAAAATGTGTAGCCAACAAAGTAACATGTGGTGAGGAAATTGTGTTTGCATTCTGCTCTGTGACGACCTGTTAGAACCCTCTACCGATTGTCACTTCGTTTGTTTGTAGGGAAGAGATGGCTGTGAATATTCTCTTGGACTGACCCCGACAGGCATATTAATCTTTGAAGGAGCTAACAAAATAGGCTTATTCTTTTGGTAATTTAGTTTTGTCTAATATTAAAAATGTCTTTTCCTATTTTGTGGTGGAAGTCTATGTGATGGATGATTATTGAGGGTTATTTGCAACACCCTGATTCGTTTTAAAATCACACCATCCTCTTGTCATTGGGGGTGTATGGCACTTGCACTTATACTTCTGGATAATCATATTTAAATGAATGAATGATTTTTTTTTTCTTAGCCAATCTAAGCTTAAAAAGTAGAAAGGAAACTGCTGTTTTGATGTGTAGTTTTACTGCAGACTGTGCTTTTTAAAATGCTTTCTCTCCGACTAGGCCTAAGATTACCAAAATGGATTTTAAAAAGAGCAAACTGACCCTTGTGGTGGTCGAGGATGATGACCAGGTAGGCCTCGCTCCCCTTGCCCACCTTGCTGGGAATAACCCTGCATCCATGTGATGTGCGCACACGAGGGCCCTTGCTTCCTCCCCCAGGGACGTGAGCAGGAGCACACGTTCGTGTTCCGCTTGGACAGCGCCCGCACCTGCAAGCACCTGTGGAAGTGTGCCGTGGAGCACCATGCTTTCTTCCGCCTGCGCACACCAGGGAATGGCAAGTCCAGCAGATCCGACTTCATTCGCCTGGGCTCCCGCTTCCGGTTCAGGTGGGCAGACACTTTGCAGTGTGGATCACTTGTTTTGGAGAAAGACAGTAGCTTGTTTTTAGGCATGGATTTGAGCCCAGTGATTTGGGTTGTCACCCCCACTTCTTTCTCAAGGTCTGACCTTTGGGGGAGGCACACAAGCTCTTTTGACCTCCCAATCTTCGATGGTAAAACAGAACCAATACTGTCTGAACTGCTTGGGACCAAAAGTGTTCCAGATTTCAGAGATTTTTGGACTTTGGAATGTTTGATATTTCTGATATTTGAGTGTTGAGGTCCCAAAAGTTTTGGATTTGGGAGCATTTTAGACTTTGGATTTTTAGATTGTTGTTAGTAGCTAGAGTTATGTTATCCAATACAGTAACCATTAGCTACTTGTAGCTATTTAAATTAATGAGTATTTAATAGATTTTAAAATGCTCTTCTTGGGTCTCATCAGATCACAGTTTAAGTGCTCAAGTACTCATGAGGCGAGTAGCTACCTACTGAGCAAGGCAGACTCAAGACTCAGCATCACTGTGAAAGATCCTGTCAGATAGTACTGCATTAGAACTCTGTGTCCCCACTCTTAATCCACGAAACAGATTATCCCCATTTTACAGACTAGGACACTAAGGGCTCAAACAGAGCTAGAGAATCAACCCCAGACAGTCTGGCTCCTAAATTTCTTTTTTGTTATTCTTTTGTTTTGTTTTGTTGAGATAGGGTCTCACTATGTAGTCCAGGCTGATCTCAAACTTCCTCCTGCTTCCACCTCCCCAGTGCAGAGTTACATATAACCCACCACTGTATTTCCTTTCCCATGCCAATATCAAGCAATTTGGTAATGATTAAGAGTGAGAACAGGTATCCATATGTGTATGTGTGTGTGTATGTGTGTGTGTGTCTGTCCATGTGTGTCCCAGGGCAGGCTCAGTAAATATTTGAATCTGACAAGAGCCTGAAGAAATAGAGAGCTTATTCTGATAAGTTTTGCTTATGAATCTTAAGACCATGTCTCTTAAGTACATGAAAACTCCCTGGACGTTTGCTAAAAATGAGATGTATGGCTTTATCCAAGACCTTTGTAATCAGAGTCTGTGAATGTGCACATGGTCCTGCAAGCCTGGGGGTGCATTTTAAATGTGCTCCTGGGGCTGATTTTTGAAGCACATGTGCAGGTCTGAGAATGTTGGTTACGAGATACAAAACTTCACTTGGTTTCATAACCTCTACCCACACATGGCATGTCCCTGAACTCTGTTTAAAATGCCAAAGGAGTTGCTCGTTTCAAATTTATCTACTGTGCAAGGAAATGGCTGTGCACTTCTGTTTAAAGAATTATTTTATTTGAATGTATTTTTAAATGCTTCAAGGAGGAAAAAAGACCATGTCCTTTTTGAGAAAGACTCAACTCACAGGGCTCTTGGAGGATGGAAATATCAGAACTCAGAGGTTTGCAGAACCACTCCATGGTCTGCTGATGTCCATGCGGGCTGGGTCAGAGGGGAGGACTGTCAGAGTGATTGCCAGTGCGGGCTTTGCCCTCCCAAGAGCATACTCTCCCGAGATTTGACCCGGAGCCGCTGTCCTCTGCTCTTCAAGGAGAAGTGTAAAAGGAAGGGGAGTTTGGAGTGGAGGTTGCCTCTTGGAGCACTTGGAGTAGGTAGCAAGTGTCTCTTTCCCTCTGATAAATCAAGAGTAGCTGGATGGGAGCAGTGATGGATAAATCAGCAGTGAACACTGTCCACAGCCAGGTGTGCTGACTCATATCTGTAACCCCAGCTACTTGGCAGGTGGAAGTAGGAGGATCATGAGTTTAAGACTAGCCTGGGCAAACTTAGTGAGACCCTATTCCCCCGCCCCCAAAAGAACCACAAACAAAAGGACTGGGGGCATGACTCAGGTGGTAGAGCATTTGCCTAGCATGTGTAAGTTCCTGGGTTCAATCCCCAGTACTGCAAAAACAAATACATAAATAATAAAAAGAACAGTATCCCTCTTGGAAGCTGAAGCCAGGTGTCACAGTGGTTGAATTCCAGAAAGCCTGGGTGAAATAAGTAGTTCCCTTGGTATAGCAAGGGAAGCCGAAGTTTCATTAAGGGGCCACTGGTTACAGTCTTTTAAAAGATGACTTAAGTGTCTTTACACAGTGTGTTCCTTGAAAGGTTATTTTGTGTGCTAATCAGTGTTCTCCTAGTCAAGTGTTCCAAGCACTCAGAGATGCTTGGGTTTGTGCGGCCAAGTGGCTGGTACTTAAATTGCAGGTTTTGTCCTTTGGTGGAAATACCTGCCCCGGTAAGATTGCCTGGTTTGGCAGAGGAGATTTTATTTCCGAATAGAAGTCTTCAACTTTGTGTGTCTTTACCAGGTGAGTTCAGGCTCAGTTGAAATGTACACTAGAGCTCTTGAAAAGAAAAGTTCACTTCCAAATAGGTATGATGTGTGAGATTCTGATGTTGGTAACATTCAGTCAAATATTTCCTTCCCAGTGGACGGACGGAATACCAAGCTACACATGGTGCCAGGTTGCGAAGAACCAGCACCTTTGAGAGGAAACCTAGCAAACGTTACCCATCCCGGAGGCATTCCACGTTCAAAGGTGCTGTGGTGCTCTTTCTACCTTGGCGTTTGGTAGTACAGCTTAGTGGATTAAGTCTGGACGAAGTTAGTCAAGAAACTTGTGAAGGAACCTGCTACAGTTCTACTCCAGTGTTCTGAAGCTCTTGAAAAACATCCCAACAGTGATCTCTTGGTGGGACTTGGGTTTCTTCTGCTAGCCTCTGGTCTTTAGTCTTCCTCCATTGGATATGCTTTTCTCCTCATCCATCATTTTGTGTGCCTCTTTGCTTCTTTTGGACCTTCATTGCCTATAAAAGATGCTGTGTCCCCTCTCTACTGCCTTACCATTTTTGGTGGACATCCTGCCCAAGCTAACCAGAATTCTGACCATATTAAAGTAGATGCAGAATGTGCTTAGATCCCTGTGGCCAATCCAGACATACCCATCCTTGAATGTCTCCTGGTCCTGGACTGCTGGCCCTACCCTTCCCTGGAATCCACTGAACCTTATCTATACCTCCCTGCAGTGGCTCACACCTGTGTGAGGCCTAGAACCAGGACATCCTTAGTTAGCGAGTGAGGAAACTCAGTCATTTCTGTTTAAACCCAGCCTTCATATCCCATCTCATAGCTCTTCTTTCTTTGTACTGATTGTTCCTCCATGTGGCACCCCCAGGGTAGCACTAAATTGTTGCTCTTTTATGGCAGGGCCTCTGCACTCAGCCTCCCTCATCCCTGATGTTGTTTACTTGTCGGGACTGTTCCATACATTTTTCTTAAACAGTTCAGGACTTAATTGGTCTCTGTGGAACTCAGCTCCTTTACTTAGGCCTTCTAGAATCTTTAATCTTCTTTCCCTCGTTCCTTTCTTTATGAACCAATAGCACAGTAGCCTGGTAGCAAAAAAGTCTCAGTCATTCTCTGCTACTTTAATGGAAGAAAAATGCCCAGAGCCCGGAAAGCGTGGTCTTACCTTTGAGAAAGGCCAGAGGATGGAGCATGTCCACAGAAGGGTGATGGACTGATGAGTTGATTGCAGTAACTGGAGAGGGACTGATAGAGCAGTGGGGGGACAAATTCTCTGGTCCCAGGGCTGTTACCCCCATGAGCAGGATCATGCTTGTGTGTGTGTATGTGTGGTCCGGTGGGCCACAGTCATCCAGAAACAGTCGTAAGTAGGGAAGAATTTTCCAAAGATAAAAGGCATTCTTTGGAGATAGTAGTGAGTGCCCACCCCCTACAGTTGCCTGCAAACACAAGGGAAGGAGCCCCTGTGTGACTGTCCCAGAGTCGGTGGGCATCCAAAGCCCGAACCCACCAGATGGCTTGAGCTCTTCCAGATTCCTGGTTCTGTGATTCCCTCCCACTCCTTCCTGGTCTCCAGCTCCTTTATTTCACTGACATTTTTTCCTTACTGGAGGCCTAGATTCTTCTTTGAGAAGATTTTAATGATTTTCCCGGCCATATCCTTTTTAAAACAAAGTAAGGGCTGGGGATGTAACTCAGTGGTAGAGAACTTGCATAGCATGTGCAAAGTCCTGTATTCTATCTCCAGCACACAAAAGAGAGGGGGAGGGAAGAAGAGAGGGAGGGAAAAGAAAAGAAAAAAAAATGGTGGAAGGTAAATAAGCAGCATCTCATCCTTGTTCCCTTCCCTGCAGATGTTGCCCCCACAGAGCATCTGGTCCACACTCCTCAGCACAGACAAATGCTGATACTTCAGCCTTTATCACTTACACTGTTCACTTCTCCATACCTCTCATCTCAAGACCATGAGTTCCTGGAGAGCAAGAACCGGCTGTCTTATCTCTCATCCTAGCATGTCTGCATCACAGCTGGCCCTGGGAACCTGCTCAGGAAGGGTTCCCTAGAGAATTGGAGGCAGGAGCAGAGTGGATAGTCTGAAGGATGGGGAAAGGAGCAGCCACAGTGCAGATCTGCCTGGTTTGGGGTGGAAATTTTTCTGTGACCAGAGAATTCACTCTTTGGTGGGAATGTGTTGTTACAAGGTGAAAGTTATAAAGCTCTCTAAAACCGCATGACTCTGTTTTTCCTTTATAGCCAGCAACCCAGTGATAGCTGCTCAGCTCTGGTAAGTGCCCCCAGACTCTGGAGTACAGCTCTCCTCTCTAATTATTGTGTTTTATTTGCAATGTTGACTTTTTCCTTAATACAATTAAATCAGAGTGACTCACCTGAGAAATTTTGTTTTTCCTTTTTCTGCTGCCTAGCTGTACCATCCTCCAGGTTTTGAATAAGTACACAACAGTATGTTCCAAGGCAGCTTGTTTTACTGGAAAACACAGCTGCTCTGTTTGCATAGTGTAGTGCTTTGTTGAAATGGTGGATGGTAGGTGATAGGTGGCTTTGCAGGCAGTGGTGGGGATGGTAGGCAGAGCCCCCGGGCAAGGGCTAGGCGAGAGCAGGCGCTAGTTTTACCCAGTGCAGCTCAGGCATTAAGAGTCATACAGCACAGAAGACAGTAAACACCATTGGAATTCCTTCAGGGAGAGAACTTCACAAGACAGAAAATCTGCAGCACAAGAGTCAGCAAGCCTTCCGTAAAGGGCCAGGGAGGAAATATTTTAGACTGTGGCTGTGACGTCTCATTCACAGCTGTTTAGCTCAGCATTGCAGCACTAAAGCAGCTGTGGACGGTGTGTAAGTCCACGAACATGGCTGTGTTCTAATAAAACCTTTTTTACAAACACCAGGGAGCCAGATTTGGCCTGTGAGTGTCATTTGCTGTCCCTTCTATAGCACAGGCATTTCTGATCTTGCTGTGCATTGGAAATACCTGCTATGTTCTGAAACGCCTTCCCATGCTTTGGCCAGGCCACACCCAGGGCCAAGCAAATCACCTGTGCACAGGTGTGGGACCCAGGCATCTGTTCTTCAAAGCTCCCCAGATGAGTCTAGTGTGTAGCCTGGGTGGAGAGCCACTACCTTGTCTGTCTTCTCCCCGCCCCTCCCCCCATCACCTGACACACACACACACACACACACACACACATGCATGCACGCGCATCTAAAACCACTGTTCTTTCTGGGTGAGTTTGGACTTGCTAGGTAGACAGTGGTCATATGAAAGAGCCAGACTTAAGTTGTTGACCCTAGGTCTGAACTACAGGCCCAGGTGTGAAGGCTGATGGGGAGGGTGGCCTTTAAGATGGGCACAAGCTAGACTGCTATACACTCTCAGCCAGGACAGCTGGCCAAACTGACCAGTAGGACACATGGTGGGGCAACCAGGGCTAGTGAACAGAGCCCTGGAGGAGGACTTGTAGTCCTCTGTCCTGGCCCCAGCTTTTGCTAACCCACTCTCCAACCTTAGGCCTTCTCCTCTGGGCCTCCTTACCTCCCCCTTCCTTTTCGGCTCTCCCCCAAAAAAGCCTGACATGGAATCTTGATGAACAGAAAGACAAAAGCAGGGCTACTGTGGAGGAAGCCAAGTGGGAAAGTTCTGTGTCCATCTGTGTTCTCCACCTCCCTCTAGGTAGCTCCGAGGTGCCTTCAAGGAACCCTAGATCTAGAGAGCCAGAACCGGTCCCTCCAATCACACAGGCAGACTCAGCCTCACCTCTGGCTCCAAGCTGTGCTTGGAGTGCCATTGTGCTGGGCCAAGTGCTCTGCCTCTTGTCTCGAGGCATCAGTTTCTGCATTTAATGAAGAGGCCTGAGGGTTCACGGATCCGCTGCTCATTGCTCCTGCCCCTGTGGTGGGAGGTGGTTGCAGTGGGTTAGGTCTTGCATGGGTTAGAGGTACGCCCTTTTTCTCGGATCCTTCTGGCAGGTAGTAGGCTAAAAAGACTTTATTTTCCTGTCAGGTGTCTTGTTTTTAATTCTCAGTGGCTTATAAGCTACAGCTTTTCTGTCTTTTGGTCTCTTAAGAGGAGATTGTTTTGTTTGTTTGTGTTTCCCTAATAAAATGTCATTTTCCTTTTAGCATCTAGTGGAGATTATATATTGGAAATGAAAACAAACTAAAAAAAAAAAACTCCACCAAAAAAAGAAGGCCCCAGTAAATAGACCCTTTAGGAACAATGAGCTAATAACCGCTGTGTTGCAGCTGTTCAATTGCTCTTTGCAGCCTGTGGGATCCTGGGGCGAGTAGGATTGCTCTGGGAGCCATGGATGAAATTGTGCTCTGGGCCACAGAGGTGCTACCAGAAAAATAGCACCTTGCAGAACACTTAACATACCTGCTGAAAGCCAGCCTAGGCAGTCTGGCGTGGAGCCTAGCTCCAGCTTACTAGCCCTCTCTGAAAAACTAGAACACAAAGCCAGTTAGACTCCAGGCAAAACTCATAACAATGATAAGTTCCCTCTCCATGTTGCAAAAGAAACAAAAAATAAACCTTGATTCCAAGCAGACCACCCTAGCAACAGTGACTGCCCAGTGATTTGGGTGTGTTTGTGGGTCTTCTGACAGGTACTGAGCTTGCTGTTTCAAATATTTCATATTACACCTACCTGCTTTGTTTGTGGTTTTTTGTTTTTGTTTTTTGCCAGAGTAGTTCTATTTAAGATGCCATAAAATGGGATCATGCATGAGGAGCTCTGAATTTTTCTTTAGGCCCTCCAAGAGCTCTCTTGGTGTAGTGGAAAGAAGATAGGCTTTGGTATTGAGCAGATGCTGAATTTGCCCTGGCTCTGCCATTGACTGGCCAGTGACCCTGCACAGGTTTCCCAATGCTCTGTAAAATGAGGTGTTAGGAAACACTGTTGACCTCATGGCCCTGTGGTGTGAATTAAATAATAACAGATGTGAAGTTCCCAAGACAGAGGCTCTCATGGAGTGAACAGTCACAGTGGTGGCTAGATAACAGTTAACTGCAAGGCACCTACTGTGACTCCCGCCACAGTGCCTGGTGTAGATGTCCAGAAGTAACTGGTGACTCTCTCTGGCTAGAAAAAACTCTGCCCAGTCCTGAGCTTCCTGGTGCTGTGGGGCTTCCCACAGCAAAAGTCAGGTCCTACAGTGGGAGTTGACATTAGTTTGCACAATTGAAAGGACCTCCTTTCTGCCACCAAAATGTGACATCACAGCTGCATTTTGGTATATCACCTATGTGTCTGTATTGAGGAGCTGTAAAGTGATGAATGAAAGTTGCTGTTTGTGGTTTCCCTAGTACAGCATCCAGTAACCAAAAAGAACTAGTGTGAGACTGTTCCTAATGGAGTAGGTACTGCATTGGACTGGTTTATGATTGTTAAATAAACTAAAATAATGTCACTTTACAATCTGTCGTTATAATTTTTCTTTTTCTCTTTTCTTTTTAGCTCTAAAACAAATCCCGAAGTCCATAATTACCAGGTGAGATACTGCTTTTAAAGGGTTTCTTCTTTAAAGTTTCTAAGCTCTTCTACACTGAGCAGTCATTATGCTTACCATCAATTTCAAAGGAGTGACAGTCCGTGTTCCTGAGCACGTGGTAGAGGAGAACCCTTTCCTCCTGACCCTGCTTTCTCAATTTTCTGGACTGTCTGTTTCTCTTAACCTTGCCAACTGGCCATTGTCGGGGATAAGTTTGCTTCTGAGTGGTCAAACACAACCTCTTAGGAGCATGCAAGTGAGACAGCTTTTTGTCAAAGTGTGTCCCAGACCTAGGGAACATGAGTCCCTTAAGATGTGCCTTTAAGGGAGGATGTTTTGGTCAAGTATTTGGGAAATGTTACATTTCTCACTCCCCTTCTAGATTTTACAGTGCCCACTGGGATGTAAAAGTACTGAGAAATCTTGTAGCAAAGACACATGTTAAGGCTGGGCCGTGGCTCAAGTGATAGAACGCCTGCATCGCCTGAGTTCAAACCCCAGTCCCACCAAAAAAAAAAAGGAAATTTGATTTTTAAATGCAGTGTTTCCCAAAATCAAATGAATATTGGTCCCTATCCCCATGAAAAGCTAGCCCCAATTCCCCTTTCATGGTGACCCCACTGACATCGATATTGGTGGAGTGCTGATTCCTAGAACCCACTGGTTAAGCACTGTAAGACCGCTTACGTTTCCATGGTGTTCTGCTCTTTCACAAGCAGCAAACCACGGCCCATGCTGCCTGCCTGCCCGCCCACTATTGCCAAAGCCCAGGGTAGCCCATCCTCCAGGAAGCCAGCCTCTCCTAAGTCACTGTGGTACTCCTGTGACCTGGCTCTGACTTCTCCACGTTTATTTCCCACACTCCTCATCACACACCATATGATCAGCTCCCAGGAACTGCGTAATTGTTTGCCCCCAAATTCCTTCACTTTCTCCTTCACTGGTCTGCCTAGAATTCCTTTGCCTCCTATTCTTAGGCTAAACTGTCTTTCAGAGGCCAACTCAGAAGCCCCTCCTCCTGATCTCTTAGAGAGCCTCTGGCGAGCTTTAGTGAAATAACCAGTGCTTGGGCCTCATCCTGGAACAGGGGGTAGGAACTGAGCTTCAAGACTCCTAAGGTGGTTCTAAGGAGCATGTGGGAAGGGGCTCTCAGGATGATGTATACCTTGCTTCTTAGGTGGTCATCTGTTTCTGCTTAAAAGCAGCACCCCTGGCTGATAACTTCTAACTTAGGTCCCTGTGTTAGTCATTTTTTTCTGTTGCTATAGCAAAATACTTAATGCTGTGAAGTAAAAGAAGTTCATTTAGCTCAGTGTTGAAGGTTCAAGAGTGTGGTGCTAGCCTTCACTCGACTCTGGTGAGGACCCTGGGGTGTGTGGCATTACAGTGATAGGAGCATAGGTGAAAGAAGGGATCACATGGCAAGATAGGGAGCCAGGGCAAGAGGAGGTGTCAGGCTTGCTCTTTTATGACATCCTGTTAGCTATCCAGGGTCCCCAACTACCTGAATCTCTTCTGAGGGCAGCACCCCCCGAGACTTAAGCACCTCCCACTAGGTCGTACCACCTGGTAAGCATCTCCCTGGGGACCAAACCTCCAACACATGAATCCTCGGGGAACAGATGCCATCCTAACTACAGCTGGCCAAGTCTCTTGTCCTGGGTGGCTGTGTATGTCTGAGGGTCTCTGTGCCTGTTGTGTGTTTGATTATGAATATCACAACTGTTTCTTCTCCCATAAACAGTTTTACTTTGGATCCTTATTCTAATTATCCCCTTTCTTGGCTATTCATAACTGTGGATAGTCATTCCTTAGATGGGTGAGATCCCAATGTATATTATATTTACACGGTTTCCAAAGAATTGATTTTCACATACGAAATCATATTCCCACTGTGCAGAATCTAGAAGTCACCTCTAACTGTTGAGGAACAAGCAAGAAGTGCTTTGAACTTGGAGAAAAGTTTAGTTTCCCTCTCTGCATACCTTTCTTGGGTTCTTTTGTCTTCTTTTTCACCTACAGTTTTCATTGGTGGATTTTCGGATGTGACTAGAATGTTGTAGGAAAAGGGAAATGCTGATGGGTGATCAGTGCCTGGGAGAGAGAGAGAAAAAAAAAATTGAAAATAAGTAAAGCAAAGCATCCACTGCCTAGAGCTGCCCCTGCCCTCTTCTACCTCCACCTTGGGTGTTTCCTGCAAATGCTTCTCTGGTGCAGTGAACATCCAGGCTGGTGTTTGTAGAATCAGATCTGCAGAAACTTATCTAGATACTGTTCTCTCCACATTGTTGTCAACTGCTGGCTCTTTGCACCTGGCCAGTCTTAGTGGCCCTGTGTTACTCTGTCAAATTTGGGAGTGAATTGACTGGGAAGAGGACATCCTGAGAAGTGACCTGATTGCATCAGAATGCTTGAAGGGTTTATAGAAGGATGGTATTACAGCATCTATCTCATTCCCAGCACAGCAAGGTTAGCCAACAGCCAAGGATGGATGGCTGTGTTCTTGATGAGGATACTATTGGCATTTAAGGAGGGACAGTTCTTCATTGTTTAAGACTGTCCCTGGAATTACAGGACATTTAACTTCCCTTTTCTCTGCCATTGTGAGAAACAAAAGGCACACATGCATTTCCAGTTGTCCCAGAGGAACAGGACTGCCCCAGTTGAGAGAACCCACTGAGTTAACACTAATAATCCTCCTTGACAGTTTAGAGTGTGAATACATTACTGGAGGAGACTGAGGAAGGTTGTGGAGTCTTCTTTCTCCAGGTGTGTGGATGAGGTTCCCCCCGTCTTTGATTAATTTGGTTTGAGTGTGTGTAAAGGCAGAGAAAAGACTAAAGGTCAGTTGTAAGTAAATCATTCTCTTTTTGTGGACCTGGCTTTGTGATCAAAACACCTGGAATCATTTGACCTTGGGAAAATCCTCCAAACTCTTTGTGTTTCTGTGTCCCCTAAAAGGGAGAACTATGAGGAGCTTGCAGGAAAATTCTAAAGCCCTGGTCAGGACTTGGATTCTCCTGCTGAGACTTTTCTTCCAGGTTTCTTTTCCCTGCAGCTTGTCCTCTGGGAGCTGCAGCCTTAGCTTGCTGACAGCACTCTTTGAAGGAGAAAAGAAAGCCTACTGGAATACAGAATAGGCAGCCAGGGCACCTCTGGTCTATGAAAATTGGATGAACAGAATTGCTGAGAAATCTCTGTAACAGAGAGCGGGCTACTGTATATTAACCAAAGGAGGAGGAGATGAAGAAATAATTAGGAGATTAATGGTGGTAAGACTGTGGTGACTTTAATGTCAGGAGGGCCTCATTTGCCCCACAGCAAGTTTGGCCATGAGAGAAGGCTTCTTCTGGCACTGTCTGGGTCCACTGCCCCCTGCAGGCCAGAAGTGGATGGGCAGCCTGCCATCCACCCAGCCCTATCTATGCTTCACCCTGCTCACTCACCCTCCTTCCTTCCATCCATTCCTCCCTCTCTGCCTCCCTCCACTTTTATCAGGATAATAAGTGCTGTGAATGGTTTTTTGTTTTGCATTGCATTTTAGAAAATTATTTTTATTGTTTATACCAGGGAGAAAGAAAGAAAAAAGATTCACCCACAGCTCTGCTGCTTTACTTAGCATCCCCATCCAATCCTTGTATGTGCAAACGTAACCATTACGCACTATTGTCGTCATTTCAAACAAAAATTGTTCCTAAAGACAAACCTGCTTACCCCATCTCTTTGGCACCTGTTTCCTTGGGAGAAATGAGTATTGCCTGTCCTGGGCATACTGAATGACCCCCACCAGGCAGATGCTGGCATCCTGCTTCCAGGGGCAGCCTCCCAGACCCTTCCCAGGGCCATCGCTGGAGATGGCCCTTTGAGAGCCAGGTGCTGGCTGTCAGCCCCCCAGCCTCTGTCAGTGGAGGAAACACGATCATCCCGGGAAAGGTACACCCCCCAGCCAAGGCTTAGTTACAGCCTTTCTATTCACAGCCCCCTTGCCCCGAGATGGTGCACTGGAAGAAAAAGTGAATGAAGACCATTGAGATCCAAAGGTCACTGAGTAACCAAATTTGGTGTTTTATTTCCAGCCTCAGTACCATCCTAATGTCCACCCCAGCCAGCCCCGGTGGCACCCTCATTCTCCAAATGTCAGGTAAGTGCTTGAGTGCACAGAGCTGTGCTTTGGGAATTTCTTTCTCTGAAAGTTCCCACCCTACTAAGTTATGAATCAGAATGAATGCTGCAAGAACAGTCCTGAGGGTGGCATTGCCACAGCAGAGACAAATCATTTGCAAAGCAAAGGAAATCAGCGACCACTCTGTGAAATGAAAGCGAATTGATTTTGAAAATTATCTAACCTCATACGTTTTGGGTTTGGTTTTATATCAGAGATGTTGCTTGAAGTTTCTAAGTAACATTTCCCTGTTCTGAGAATTTGTTTATTTAGAATGTAATTAAACTTGAGGATTGTTGTGGGGTTTTTTAAAGGATTTTTTTTTTCAGGGATGAGGCAACAGTTGCTTTGGTGGCAGTGGATTTTTTTTTAATTTTTCCCTGAAAATTTGCATGAGTAAATTTTTTCAGAAAAGAGGAGTCATTATTTTCAGCTTTGTGGCTACTGTCATAACTACTCCACTCTGCCATTGAAGTTGAAGACAATATGTACATTCAAGGATATGGCTGTGTTCCAATAAAACTTACTTATAAAAACAGTGGGATTTGGCCAAAGGGCTGTTATTGACTGCCCCCTGCCCTAACATGCAACAATCCTCCTGGAGTGAGCTGGCATCTGCTAGGCTGTGTTTATAGTCAGCTTGAAAGTTTTCTTAAAGGCCAGCTCTGCAAAAGCAAGTGTGCCTTTAAGATGTGCATTTTTGATCAGTCTTAACTGGTGTTTATATGTCAAACTATTTCAGAAATACAGTTGGTGAATTCAGGTTGCATAAAGGTGAAGTTGTGATCCTTGCTTTCTGAGAAAGTACGGAGAATCAGTGGTGCAAATAAATCTGTCCAGAGCACATGAATGAAAGTTTGTTGGGGATCTTGTGACACGCAGTGCAATTTCATTATTATAAACACTTTGATATTCACGTAGCTTTTTAAAGCAAGGTAGATTAGTGGAGTGATAATTCTAAATCTTTATTTCAGACATGGGATAGAGAGGAGACTTATAAAAAATGTGATTTTTACCAACACTGGGTTTGCAAAATTTCATCCCTAGTGTTGCCCATTTTATCAGAGTAGCTCCTTCTGATGCATGACCTAGGCCAGCTTTTCACGGGAATTTTAATAGCGCCCCTCTCAGTGCCCTGCTGACTGGCAGCCTTAGCACCCCCTGGGAACTAGCCAGTAGTGCTACTTCTCAGACCCACCCCAGACCATCTATGTCAGAATCTCTGAGGTGGGGCCCAGCATTTTGCATCTTATCAAGCTCTCCAGAGATACCCCATGACAAGACAGCTCATTAGTCCAACGCTTCTGGCAAACATTCCCTAAGGTGTTCACTGTGCACATTAGCATGGTAAAGGAACCTTTCCCTTCACCTGGAGCTCCCCAGACTGACTTGACCACCAGCTGCCCTTTGAGAAGCAATGACTCAGCTATAGACGGAGCTTTTCTCGACTTGGAAGTTAATAGATGATCCTCACTGGAGTTTTTAAAATACTAAAATCGCCAGTCCATTAATTTCCATGTATAAGCCATCCCTCCTCACTGCTTTTCCCCTACCACTTCCTTTGTGCGTGTGTTGTCTCACTCTCCTTTTGGAGTTGTCTTCCATTCCCCCACTAACCATTCACTCTGCAAACAAAACAGGCCATCTTTTCAGGATGACAGGTCGCACTGGAAAGCTTCGGCCAGTGGAGATGCCAGCCATTTTGACTATGTCCACGACCAGAACCAGAAGAACTTAGGAGGGGTACACAGTGTGACGTATCGAGACAAACTCATGACTGCACTTTGAGAGACTGAAGCATCTGACTTCCAGTCACACCGTAGTGTCATTGCATTCCATGAGAATTGTTCTGGCATCACATGGATGTGTTTGTACAAGTGTCTTTAAGGAATAGTTCTGAAGGTGTTTGAAGATAACCATGAGAATTAGTCAGAATTTATTATTGATGGCATTCTCAGTAAAATGAAGGTAGTTAAAGGCTCAGGAATCATGTTGATATTCTGATTTTAAAATTGGAGTAGAAGTCTTATGTTTATCATCTCACTATGTACCTGATATTCTCTGTAATTTAATTAATGGGACCAAACAAAACCAAAAAGCTTAGGGGATCTGCTTGGCACATAGTGCTATTGTAGGGATTGAGGTTGCTAGGGCCCAGCCTCCACAGCTGTGTGACCTTGAATAGGTCATTTCCCCTCTGTTGGCCTTGTTTCTCCACCTGAAAATAGAGGATTGGACTACGTGATCTAAGTCCTTTCTGACTCTAACATTCTGTGATTTATTAAAATTTAACTTCTTACTTAGGCTGAGAACATACATTCAAACCAAGTTTCTCATAAGGAAAACTGCATTATCCCCTTCTACAACAGAAGCTTAATAATGTATATAACTTAATAAATGTTAGGAGTACAGGGATACTTGGAATTTCATATCTTAAAGCAGTTTAGCCACTCTTAATTTCTGCCTTAGTACTAATCATAAATTGTATAACATCTATTTTGGTAGAATTTGCTACTCAAGTGTGAGTAATTTTTAATGTCTTAGTGATTGGTGCTGCTAACTTGCATGATTTCAGAAGACATTGTGAAGATACACTGTTGGAAATTGAGGGGTTGGATTTTACCCTTAACTTCACTCCTTTGAAGGAGTGACACACTTAGGGCTCAAATAAAAACCTGTAAGATTTTATGGAGGTTGTGCCAAAGCACTCTGTAGTGTAGTAGGATGGGCATGGCCCCGATCTTTTTGTAGAACCAGAAAACAATGTGTTGTCTTTTAGAATGAAACTTGTACCAAAATATTTATTTCCCCCATTTCAAGTCATGAATCAAACCTTTTTCCTTTTAATAAATAGACTTGAGATAGCTTTTCACTAGTGTTTTTGTGAAATTAATTATTGTGCCACTCTATGTGTGTAATTGTAATTTGGCCCATTTTAAGTCCTTAAGAATGTATTGACACTCTTTGAGATATTTTCTTGCTCAAATCTGATCTTTCTTTGGTTACCACAAACATCTTTGGAGGAGGAGAGAGTCAGCTGCACACTTGCACAGTGGAGTTGGCCACCTATCAACTCCCTGAGCTATTGTTTACAGGTGTATTCCATTTTAGCAGATATTTTGATCCTCAGTGTATGTGTTGCATCCCAATAAATGTGTTCTGGATCTTTTCATCTTTCTGATAACATTTTTACAATGTGTTTCTAAGGAATAAAGATTATTCTTCCCTTTTTTGACTCCATTCTCATTTCACTGATTATTCTATACAGAAGTCTCATTTTTGGATGATCTCAGTAATGGGACTGTCGGCTTCTGTGAGTCTGAAGGTGAGGAGCATTCAGTTAGGTGGCATGGAGCAAGATCATCCTGGACTGAGGCTGCTTCTGGCAAGAGTGGCTCTTCTTATAGGCTGAATGAGGCATTTCTTCACTGGGGGCAACTCTGTGAGGGTTGTAGTACCCAGTCATGGTACTGAGTAGAAAGAAGTGGTAGTAATGGGGTTGGGGTCCCCAATAATAATCTTATGTTGAGGATAGGTGTTTGCCTTGACTACTTTGCTCTGTCCGGCTGGAAGACATCTAAACCTCTGTCTATGGCCTGCCGTAGTCTGTATGCCCCATCCAATGCCCTCTAATAAATACTTTTCTGCTTAAAATCACTTGAGTGGATTCAGTTGTCTGCAACCAAGATTAGACGATCAGTATGCACATTTATAAATCCTAATTGTTAATGAAATATATACTTTTCAGTCCCTAACTTAGTAGACCTTTCTCTACTGCATTTGACAGCTTCCTTCTTACCAGCTTCCTCTTCTGTCATCCTGTTGAATATTGGTGTTTTCCAAGGACCTTTCCTCTGCTTATTGCTTTTCTCACCACAGTCTACTGGAGTCTTCTCATTTTTCATGACTTTATAGTGCTGTGTCTCTGAAACCATCATCTCTAACTCACACTACTCCTATGAGCTTTTAGACTGACATTTCAACCTAGACATCTCATATTCACTTCAAACTCCACATATTGAAAAATCAAGTTTATTTTACCCCTCCCAACCTCCAACTTCTCTTCCACCTGAATTTCTCTTTTACCCATAGTAAGAATTTATACATTATCCTAGACTCTTCTCCCATATTCAGGCAGTCTACAGGACTGTTCAGCACTGCTTCCTTAGTACTTCTGTTTAGCCCTTTCTTTCTTCCCAACGCTGATCTTCCAGAGGCATCTTCTCTCTTGTTCGGAGGTGCTCTTCTGATTTCCCTCACTCCTAACAAGCTTGTTCTCATCGCAGTCACTAGCACAGTCTTTCTAAATCACCATTTGGCAATGCCACTCTGGTGTTAGACATCTGCTGGGGTTCTCCATCACCCACACAAGTCCAAGGCCTCTCTATGGTCTTCCCCCACTCTCTGTATCTGTCCCATTGCTCTAGCACTTCTCCCTTCCCCATTTCTCACCCTCCTGTTTAAATGCCTACAATACTAGACTGCTTGGAATTTCTGGCATACACCACACCCTGCTGTTACTCACATCTGTGCTTTTGCAAATGCTATTCCTTCCACCTAGAATTCTGTCACTCCTATCCCTTCCCCCAACTTCTGCTCATCCTTTAAGCCTACACTCAGACGTCATCTTCTCCAGGGACTCTCTTGACAGTCCCCACCTCTGCAAATTGGGTTAATTTCTGTGTTCTCTGTTCCACTACCACCTCCCCCTTCCACTCCCAGTTGCAGGAATGTTGTACTCATAGCTTTGTATTTAAACAGCTTTTTGTTCATCTCCTGAAGCCTGTACTCTCCTTAAGTATGAGTTTTGTGTCTCACTTGCCTTTGTTCTGCAGTGCCTGTCAGATAGCAGGTGCTCAATGAATGTCTGCTCAGAAAATGGATTCATTCTAAAGGGAATGTCTAACCAAGTAACAGTGATCCATCATCTCTCTGATCAACCTTATCAACCCTGGGGCCATCACATTTTGAGTAGGACA